CCTATAAATGAAATTAGGGAGTTTTCCCTTCATTTCATGAATTACTTCTCTACCTGCATTTGTAAATTTCAGAAATAAAAAGTCTGTTGAAATAGACTACATCATTTTAAATCTTCCTATAGCTGAATTATAAATAATATTATTTGATTTCAGTCAATAATGATCAACTATAATGTAGAAATGTTACATTTTTTTTTTTTTTTTGGTGCAAGAAATGTGAAAATTAATTATGCTCTGACTGAGATTCTAACCATAGATTTTCTAACTGTGAGCACTTACACTTTGAGAGAAAGCCAGGCAAAGGCAAACAATTCCTTACATTCTTTCCCACTTAAAGGAAGAGTGGACATTGGAATGAGATCCAGACAGCTAATTTCAGGTGGTCATAAATTCTCAACTAGCACATTTTAGTCAAATACCATTGGACAGTCTTTTAGGGTTTTTCAGCAGGAGAGGTTAGGAATCAATTATGCTATCGCTAGGACTCAAACCACTGATCTTCCAGTGCTGGCTGGATATATTTAATGCATTTACACCATCACGGTATGCATGAGGAATGCAATAATTCCTTTTAATGACTATACCGGATATTTGCAAATGGTAGCTATAGTCTTATTTTCTTAACTACGGAGCCTAGGCATGTACTTACAATAGCAGAGTTTTCTAAATAATTTTGCTCAGATAAAATTCTAAGAATAGAAATGTTACTTCAATTTCCTCAATGCTAAACTATATTCTGAATTTTTTATAGTATTTAAAGAATCTCTAAAAAATAGAAAATATGAACAGGATCAATAAGTATAGGAAATAAAACAGTAGACCCCATTCCTGAATATTCTGCATACATACAGCAATAAAATGATATATATATATATATATATATGAAGTGTTTCTCAGACTTTTATTCACACAACCCATACGCATATAGTTGTGGTTTAAAACCCTTTGCGGCATGGTGGGTCAATATATGTCCCACCTAATTAATATTTATTTTCTCAGTTAGCAATTTCCGTTAGAAATTTTCTAATCTTTTAAAAATAATCTATTTTAGTTATTATTTTTCTCAGTAGATGTTACTACTATACCAGGGCTTAAGTTTATGAGCAAAAAATATTCAAAATAGGATCACAAGAGTGATATCCATGTATCTCGCATTTTTCAATATTTTAAAAATTTTGGTATACAATTTAATGATATTGTATGATTCTTTTTTAATATTCAAGGTAAATTTTATTTTCAAAAATCTTAATTGGATTCAATATTTTATAAGATTAATTTTGCAGTTGAAATAAGTGGGTTAAAATTTGTTCCCATCACACACTTGAATTTCCGCACAATAGATGGCAGCACTTACGATTATTTTTTCTTTTCTTTTTTGCATCTACTTTTTTCGTGATTGCGCTCGTGCTTTTACATCCGTTGTATGCTTTGATGTGCTAAAATGTCTAGAAAAAATTAACAACTCAGAAAGCTTTGGATCTTTTTGCTGAATTGCCATCCGATTGCTACTCAAATGCTTCAGATGTCAGTTCTGATTCATGTGAAATTGAAATCCAAGAGAGATAACTGAGGTTGAAGTTATTGCTGAAGAAGAAAGGGAAGTAATAATTTGTTTCGCTATTTAAAGACACAGACCCATCTATGCATGTGGCACTGTAAATATGGGTCGGAAGTATCTACCCAAAAATTTAAAAGAAGACAAATTTATGTCGAGAGGAATATATAGACTTTTCAGTTAGCAATTATTCAATTTATTGCATAAAATGAAAGGATAAAAGATCCATTTCTATCCTGTCTTGCTTGGAAAAGGCAACTGAAATGAAAGAAATTAATAGAAAAGAACGAGGTGGAAAGACAAAAAAAGTACTGTGCCCAAACAGCATTATTTCATACAATAAGAATATGGGATATGTCGACTGATTGATCAACTGAAAGGACTATATGAAATAGACCGCAAAAGCAAGAAATGGTGGCACATGATTTTTTTTTTTTACTTCTTAGAAGCGAGTATAGTAAACGCATTTATTCTATTTAAGTTTGTTCGCGAACCCGATCATGATGTAGAACAATGAAAGATTTTCTTCTCTCAGTTATAAAGTCTAATGGCACTTGCAGGCAAGAAAGAGCTGAAAAGAAAACTGAAATCCCTAGTTCAAATAAAAACTAAAAACCTGTTCGTACAACCAGAAAAAGAGACTAAAAAATGTAAGTCATACTCCAAAGAGAACTAGCAGAAGAAGATGTGCATATTGCAGCACATCGAAAGAAGAACGATGAATATTTTGGATGTGTGGAACATGTGAAGTGCCTCTATGCTTACAAAAGAATGAAACAACATGTTTTTTTAAAGTTTCATGAAAAAATGACTTTTTTTCAATTTTAATCATATATAAATGTTTTTGAATCAAGTGCCAATTTTAATATTTTATTTAGTATCATATGTACGAGTATCAAATTTTAATCTTAAAATAATATTCAAGAAAATATTTTCTTTTGTTCCTAAAATTTAAAAATATTAAATATATATATACAAAATGTGCAGATGCAAAATTTTACAAGTCATGCATATATGCAATAAGTACAAAATGCATTTTAGTGTGTTTATTACGAATATTTTAGAATGCACGCTTTATTTTGTTTATTCATTCCACATATGATTTTTTTTTCCTGCTATACACCAATATGCTATAAGACATGTGCTAGTTGCATGGTGGGACAAATGGTATCCCACCTTACCCCATAAAAAATAAAAGCGCAGAATTTTTTTCAAGCTTTAAAGGCACTTAAGTAAGTCCATCTGACTTAGTCTAAGGCATTTTTTTAAAGATTAAAATATATTTTAAATATGCGTGTCGCAAACGGTTAAGGAAATGCAATAAAGTTGTTCTGAAACAAAACTGGGAAGGGGAAAGAGATTTCTAGAAAATAATGTAATAATTTCAGAGTAATAAATAAACTTATACATTTATGAACAATTAATTGGTAACTATAAACAGATCACAAATAATTATATATAATTACACAGTTAGTGAATGAGTATACTTCAAAATTTTTTGTTATCGACCAAAAATCATCTCTGACTCGTTGATGGATTACAACTCTCACTTTGAGAACTACTGACATGAATAATGGCAATATAAATTCTCCATAATTATTTTGCTTACCAAACTTAAAAATTAATATATTATATTATATGACACTTAAATATAATTCAAAGTTTATAAATATAAACTGTCTGGGAGAAAAGTAGTAGTTTTTTCCTTTTTTAATAATTCCTGAATATGCATAAATGAAAAGCAAAATTTTACCTTATTTAAATGAGTTCAAAGTTTACAAACAGAATATAATATTACTTATTTAAATAAAATGAGTTCAAAGGTTACAAACAGAATAGCTATTTAATTTATTACAAGAATGAATAATTTTGAATTTGTTGAGATCCATGTTAAAGATAAAATTTTTGATAAATTTGCTAGTGTACAATGGAATAATAATTTGTTTTGCAGATTTTAAAAATAAATAAAAAATCAGTGCATAATTGATTTAAAACAAACAACTGTGCAATGCTTATTAACCTAAACAATTATGAGCTTCAGTTCAATGATACCTTTTACAATATTTAAAAAAAAAAATTGTTTCATATAACTAAAGTGAACTCCTTCTAAGATGACAAATGGTGGTTTCAGATAATTTCGCTTTTCTATATAAATGACATCAGTACTAACATTTATTAATGTTCTCTGAAATATTGGTCACTTCAAACAGTTTTTACCGTATCACCTATATTGCTTGTAAGCATTCAAAGAATATTTCATTTCTGCCAGCACATGATAATTAAATACATAATTACCCAATTTTACCACATATCATTAATTGCAAGTTTTCAATGATATTGCCCTCACAAATAAAATTCTGAATCAGTAGATACCTAAATACAACGTCAGCATCCTCATGATAAAATAATTAAGTGTATGATGAAGCACAAGGTTAGATCTAAAATGATTAGATTGCAACTTTCACTTTTTTACAATAATATGGGCCATTTTCACTAAATGCTTCCATTTCATGTTTCTTTCAAAGTGTATAATTTCCTTTAAAAAGAAAGTTATAGGGTACATGTTTAAGGTAAATGAAAAACATTGTATGTATTGTATGTATGTATACAATGTGGAAGTAATTACATAATAAATTGCCATAAAAAGAAAATGGTTGTTTTAAATGCAAGTTAACTGTGGCTTCTGTATGTATGACTAACAAGTACAAGGAATATATATATATATATATATATGTTTTGGTTTGGTTATTTAATGACAAAGCCTTGAGGACTATCTGTCTAAGGAAAAGGATTCCTTTGTGGAGGACTTTTTAAGGAAAACAGGCTCGTATACACATCAGGAAAAACATGAAAATGTCCACGCAGACAGCCCGTTGGCAGGATTCAAACGTTGAACATAGAGTATACAAATGAAAGTCCTCTATCTACTCATACTGTAACTACTCTAATGTGTTTTTTCATGCAGATTACTCAGATACTATCTCTAATCAATGAATTTATCTGCTTAATGCATTTAGAGATCTACACTAATTAAGAATTACTTTGAAAAACATTGTTTCCAGATTTTAAAATTGGTACATTATGTCTCACCTTTAAGATCTCTCAACTTATAGATACCTACTCTAAAATACATTTACCCAAAAATATATTTGAGGTGATTAAACAGCAAAATTATACCATTCCTCTGCCTTCCAGCACAGCTAAACTTACAAATACATACTCATTTTGTGATTCTGTTGGTACACTAAAATCGACTACTATTAGCATTCATGATTCATTCAAAATATACTAGTTCGAGTAATAGCAATATATTTTAAATGCATCATGGATGTAGTAGTTCATGATGCATGAAAAATTGTCATGAATGGCTATTTATGGTATATTTTATTTCATATGATTTTTAACAGTGGAAACATATTTTAAATTCAATTAAAACCACAGTACCCTATGTGTTAAAACAGATTTATTTTAACAAAATAACAATGTTACAGAAAAATAGTTTAATGCTTTTCAAATTTTTATATACCATAAGAAAACACACAGCATTTAGAGAAAGTAAATTTGAAAGAAAAAGAAAAAATACAAATCTAAAGCTCAATGAAATAAAAATATTGATTGATTTTAACCTGAACCAATGAAACACAGGTACATATATACTTTTTTTATCATGGTAATTTTACCAAGGAGGCTGATGTATTGTCAAAAACTATTATGGAATGAAAACAGAATTACAAATGCATTTGAGCAACATGTAGATAAATCTACTTAATGGAATTATATGTAAATTTTGGTATATTACATGATTTAATATTTGCATTTTTTTTAGTAACTATCAAACAATTTTAGATATTATCGCATTAACATTTTAAGGGCAGAGAAATATATATATGTATTTACCACATATAAATAACGCAAGTACATTAACCTGTTTCACACTTGCAGCTTAATGTAATTAATGCATATATTTAACACTTATGAAAGAAATTGCATAAAAAGTAAACTTACATAGTCATAAAGCCTTTATTACAATAAAGAAATACTTTTTAACCTAATATCCTATTCAAAAGAATGAATGCAACTAGATATTATATCAATATTATTATCTGAGATATGTAACTACAGAAAATTAGGAAAAAGTTCAAATTCTAGTATTATCTACTTCAGTAATTATCATACAACTGATTCTATACACATACTGTTTAAAGAGAATATAACACATTTAAGATAAAGAAAATCTCAACATTATCTTTTATCAGAAAGAGAAACAACATAACTTTGGTCTCACCAACTTAATTTATTTTCAATAGTATTGCTTTATGATGAAATAAATCTATTAACAACTTATAATAAAAAAGCACATTCTGTGCTTAGTACCCGAAACTTTAAAACTCTAAGAAAAAGATATAAGTTGCGAAATATTGTAAGTATTAAGTAAAATACATATTGCTTTAACTTTTAGAATACATGAAAATAAATTATTTATCAGTTCTTTCACTTCATCAATGGTAAAGTAATGAATGAAGTAAAATTTATTCTACTTTTTAGCATATATCATGGTCCACTCTCTTGCTATCTCGATCGCATCTTGCTCGTTAAATTTCCACTGTTCCGCCACATCATTGGCAAGAGGGTCATCTGGATTAGGTGCGCTAAGTAATGCTTGAACAGAAAGGAGTACTGTTCTAATCTGCAAAGCCGGGCTCCAGTTATCTTTTAAAATATCCAAACATATGCGACCAAGCTTATCAATATTAGGATGATATATTTTTGTAATAAAGCGTACTTTGGGTGGAGTCATGGGATACTCTTCTGGCAAAAATAGTTCCAATTTGAAGATACCTCCTTCGAATGGGGAACCTTCAGGGCCAGCTACAAGCACATGAAAATATCTTGGATTACTGTCATCAGGAACTGCACTGATGCCTGGCACTGGATCTGACAAGAGTCGTTGAGTTTCCTTCATAATACGACGGGTAATGCTCGACATTTTGAGTTATAAATTTTCCGTATTTTGCTGAAAAGATTAAATTACTTAAACATTACGTAATTCCCATACAATTTAGGTTCTTTGGTTGAAAAAAATCACTATAGCGATATTATACATTCATTCCCTTAAGCTAGTTATGTTGCCAGATTCAGATGTAGTACATTGAATTTAGTTATTTCTGTAATAATAATTAAATAAGAAAGAAAGAAATTTTTATTCATACAAAATTATTTGAATATTATGAGATAGTTTTAAGTAACTATGTATATGAAAAATTAAAGAAAAAATTTTATTTAAGAATTCAGAAGCTTACATATCTTAAACATTACCAATCGGTTTCCATGGTAACACGCGACGGCTTTGAGCAGAGCGTAATTGAAAAAAATGCATTAAAGAACTTCGTTGAAAACATAAAAATTGCTCTATTTGAAAAACTATAAGTAAAGAAATTGTTTCCGCCTGAAACATTTTCGGTATTTTTAATGCGTAAAATACTTCACACTTGATTCTATATTTGAGTTATGGATATTCCTGACTTCGATATAAGTGAGTGTTTTTTTTTTTTTTTTTCCTCAGAATAGAATTCTAAGCATTTACTGTGAAACATAATCCTAATCAAAATGAAGTATTTAAAATATTTTTTTTTTCTACTAAATGTATATCAAATTATATTTTTACAGCTTTAAATTATTATAAATTGAGTTCAAATAAAGATTATTACGGGAAAAATATTTTAAGGAATATGGGCTTAAGGTTCCTTATAATAACAGTGGCTCACATTTGTTTTTGGACGCTTTTTTTTTTTCAAGTTTATTTGCCAATATTATTTACTAAATATTAGCGATTTATTTTTCTTTCACTTGTACAACTGATCATCGTTTTTAAAAACTGCTTGTTCTGAAAAATTTATTCAAAACGTTTTTGTTAAACAGAATTATTTATTCAAAAAGTTCTGAAAATGAACTCACATATGTACTTGGAAACTTTAAACAAGTAGTTAGTATTTAATAAAAGCATGAAATAATGGGATATTTAATCTTAATGGGAATTTGATATCCTTTAGCTAAAGTTTAACGTTTCTTGCACTTTAGCACAATTTAATTAACTTGGGGCGGGGGGGGAGAAAGCTAAACTTTGTAACATTCCTCTATTCAAGAATTGCTTTTAGTACAGCTATCGAAGAAATATCATGCTTCTTATTTTTTTCTGCAATTCACTTTATACATGTTCGATAGAATTTAAGTTTGGATAATATGGAGAAATGTTTTGATAACTTCAGGACAGTTGCATAATAACCATAAGCAAAAAATTACGGCTGCATATTTAAGGATCCTTATCTAGAATCTGAATGTATTTTCAATTCTAAGTTTTCTTCTAGATGTTTAATTTTTATTAAGAATATTTATGTATTTTTACTGATCCATTTTATTTCCTAGAATCACAAAATTTCCCATTCTAGAGGCAGCTAAACATCTCCAAAACATTATGCCTCTACCCTCAGGCTTAAAAGCAGGCATTAGGTTTTTCAGATTCAGGTCTTCATTCGACTTTCACCACATGCTAATTCATCCATTTGATCCAAAATATGTCAAATTTTCGACAAATATAACATTGTTTCAATAAGATAAATATTCGCTTACTCAGAAACTCAGAAGTATTTTCTGTGTTTTTTTATTGACAAAGAAATCTCTGATTATCCATTGTATTCATGTATCAAAATTAATTTTAATATTAAAATCAAAATGAAGAATAGCAGATATTTAAATGTAAACATCAAATTTGACTTTCTCTGTTATATTTTGTATTTATTGCATTCAAAATTGTATGCGCTGTTTTCACAGTTAATTTTCAGTTGATGACAATTGTAAAACTGATAAATAATCAGTGAAATATAGTAGCCTGTATCAATATTAAGATAGGAAAGCTTTTAAATGCCCAAGTATTAGCAACATTTACTAAATGTAACTTTATATTCCCAACTGAAAATTAATTATTTTCTTATTTTTTAAACTGCTGAATTTAAATTAATCATGAAAGTCTTTGTAGTTGTACTTTTATAATAGTTTGTTTATTTAGGTTTTGTACGACGGTATTCACTTGCAGATTTGGATACTATTGATTTTTCAACATCTGATGACTATGCTATTGTTGTAAGATATATTTTCTGCATACATCTTTAGTTAAAAAGTTTTTTAACAAAAATTAGTTTTAGAACCAGTATTTAGTTACTTATAAAATTATCCTATTTCTTGAATTTTATATGTTTTTCATCTCTTTTAAACAAGCTAAGTCATGATTATTTTATATATATATTGTAAAGTTTTTTTTTAAAATCATTCATTTTATTCTGAAAATATTAAATCATGTAGTACAGTTTTTAAATATAATTTCAGGTAGAAAATTTGAAAAGCATGATAACCTTGGGACAAAATGTGGAAACATTTTGGAATGAGGAACATGAGCAACTTTTGTGGCAGTATGTCATTGATCCTGAATCAAATCTCCTTGTATGTTATTTTTTTGAGGCATGTTTAGTTGTAAAATGCTCTATTCCAGACGTTCCTGTTTTAGAATTATTTTACTTCATCAAAATTTCCACTGAAAAACTCACCTCAGAAAATTATAGCATTAAAATAATATGTGGAAGAGCTGAATCACCTTATTTTGAAAGTCTTTATGAGTTACTTTGCATCATGTATCTACCAATAATTTCAAAACACTTAGAGCTGCCAAAATGTATCCTTTAAGGTTGGCATACATGAATGTAGTTTTCAGCCAGTACATAAACTATCATTCATTAACTCAGTTTTTTACTCTGTATTAGAAAATGTTTTCTTTTATTGCCCCTACTTTTTCTTAAGAGTTCAAAACTAAATTGACAAGTTCGTATTAAAGCAGTCAGAATTGTGAGTTGCCAAAACTAGCCAGTTGAATTATCAAACTCGTAACATGCAACTTTTAAATGTTGCCAGGTGCCTATGGCTGCTTTAATAAGGAAGTACCAAATGAAGCCATCTGTGGATACTATTCCGTTTTGAGGACGGTAAAAAAATTGCATTGAAAATGTATGCGCAAAAGCACCAAATCTAGCAAATGCGCCCATTTAACAGCACGCCAAATATAGCGTACGCACTGATTTCACATTGCATAAGTTTACATAGTTCTATATTTCTTAAGACGCCATTGAAATACCAGTTTAATGATTTCAGATTGCGTAAGTTTATATACAGTCAAAAGTCGTTAATTCGAACACCCATAATTCGGAATGATCTATAATCCGGACCTCAAAGCTAAAATGTTCTGCGCATGCGGCGCGTTGACACATGCGCATAGGCGTTTATGCGTGCGCGTTAAGACCTCTTACGACTGCGCATTTGCGTGTGCGCAAGTGCAGAATACGTTTTCGCGTGCGCGTTTTATGTATAACGGACGGTGTAAGCTAAAATTATCTAATTATCTATTTCAGTTAATGTTGATGATTGCGTTGTCCCTTAATTTTGAAATTGGATCCGGCTTATTATTTTTTGCAGCTTGTAAGAGCAATACTATAAAAGTAAACTTGAACTTTTGATTATGTCAAATAGAATTTTTGATTCTGGAGCTCCCAAAGGATCGTACAAACGAAAGTATGTTTCAATGTCCATCAAACAAAAAGTGGAAATTGCGCAAAAAATGGATAAAGACATGAAGAATGTGACAGAGAGGTTAGTGAAAACGAAAAAATTCGATTGGCAAGTTAGTCGGTATTCTCGGCACAGCAATTAACGGGACTTGAACAGCGGAACTTTGTAAGTGAACAAAAATTATGTCTGTTTATAGAATTAAAGAGAAAGTATTATCACATAAACGAAGCAACTTAAAAAACAACTTACATTGAAAGAAATGTTTAATAAAGTAAACAAATAAATATTAAGCTTTTTTTTTGTAAATTTTGATACCCTTTACATCATAATTGTTCTTTATTTCATAAATTACGGTTTCATATTTTTAATTTTAGAATTTCTGCATGCCATCTTACGCGATTTAAACTGATGATCTATAATCCGGAAAAATCGATAATTCGGAATCGCCGAAGTCCCGACGAGTCCGGATTAACGACTTTTGACTGTAGTTCTATATTTCTTAAGACGGCATTGAAATACTACTTTAATTTTTAAATCCTTTTTTGATATCCTATGGATTTAACAATTTGGGAATTGCCCATGAAGAAAAGTCTGCAATAGAATTTTGGGTAAAGTGCAGAATCACCCGCTGCTTGACACGTTTTTAAGAATTGTACATACTCGGTATCCATGTACACATCAACCTATTTTCACTTAAAAAAATTCCCTGAATTGCACAAAAATGGCACTGCGCACACCCTTGACTTTATCTATGTACACATCAACATATATTTAAAAATATATTCCACTTAAAAAGTAAAAGAAAATTGACAAAAATCCAATTGTTTTTATCCTTGTAAAAAGAGGCAAACAAATAAGTGGGCGATTCTGCCGAGAATTTTTTCAAACCGAGAATATTTTCAAAGGAAAAGCATCATTCATTATAGAAAATTATGTTTGACCAATCAACGAGATGAAATTATGCTTTAGCAATAACTCGGTAGCGAAATAGCAATGCGGGCATCCATTCAGTTATGTTTAGCAATTTCTATATAAATTATAATAATGATCTGAAGTAGTTATTTACTCTTATGCTTACATTCAGTCATGTTTAGCCTTTTTTATATAACTACTACTAATAAAATATTATATGAAATTAACCTTTCATCTAAATTAAAACATCAATCTTAGATAGTTATTTACTATTATACTTCCTTTCTTGCATTAGGGTTGTCGCAATTATTTTTGGCAGCACTGGCATCAACAATAGTTTGGCGATTTTTTACGGCCCTCAAAACCGGATAGTACCCATCTGTGTTTATCAGATATAATGTATATATGCACGATCTGCTATATTTGATTATACTTGTCAAAGATGGAAAATCATATTAATTAAATCAACTTGCTTTAAAACATGCAAGGACAAATATTCCAAATCTGAACTCTTAGCTCTTCTCAGAAAAATATATTCCAATTTACTCATTTAGAAATTCATAACAGTAAAAAAAAAAAAATAACTGCTAATATTCTATAGACAATCAAAAAATTGATTATCTGACACCAATGATAAATTTTCTGATAAAATTTGCCAGAATTTTAAGATTTTGTAAGATCTAAAAAATTGTACTGCGTTGCTAAATGTAAAAAGATTTGTACATTTTAAGTTTTCTATTTACATCAATTTAGCAGTTACTTTGTTTAAAATTATTTATTTCTAAATGAGCAAAAGCTTTTACAGTTTTTGTGTATTCCTTTATTTCTAATAATTTTAGTATTTTATTAAAAATGCCTCTTTAACTTTTTCAGCAATACTGCAATCTACACTAACTTGAACTTTAAACCTGATTTGGAACAGGATATTGTTCACTCTACACACTCGAAAGAAAGCTATTAAGTTAAAAGGATCTACTTAAGTCTTACAGATAAAAAATAAGCAAACTGTAAAGCAGTTTTCAGTCACCAGAGCAAACTTAATTTCAGGATAAATTATGCTTTAAAATTTTTTTTGTTTTGTTTTGATCATCTTAGGTCAAGTAAATTTTCACACTGTTTCACCTTACAAAACACTGTATGTCATATCATCATAAAATGCTCATTATGCTTACTATTTTCAGTCTGCCATTAATGGAAAAAAAAGTATCATTGATATTCAAGGCATTGTTATCAGTAACTGCCAAACTGTGTTCACCAGAAAAAGTCCATAAAAAATGAATTTTCTGGTATGTTTTTGTATATTTTTTCAAATAAAAGCATATGAAATAAATTAAAAACAAAGTATTTTGGTATTTTTATGTGCACATATTACTTTAAATAAACTGCTTACAAAATTCTGTAAATACAATAATTAATGTATGTATCGAATTTTGTTGAATTATATTATTATAAATAAATTGCAGACAATACTGCATTAAACACTATAATAATACAAATTGATATTAAATTCTTTCTTCCTCTCTGTTATATATAGATATTAAATAACTTGTGCTGGAGAGATGTTGAATGAATTTTCAATTTATGGTTTACTGTAGTTAATTTTGATTTTGTAGATGTTTTGGTACTTACGTATTATCGCAACCAGGCCAAAATTCGCATAAATTGCCAAATTTGGTGACCCTACTTACGGCAACCCTACGTGTTATACGTAGTTTTGTAAAAAGAGCATGTGGAGATTCACAAAATTTTCCTGCATTTTTGTGCAAATTTTGTAATTTATGAGAAAATAGCAGTGTACATGGATACAGTTAAGAGTGCGCAATGCCATTTTGTGGCAATTCTGGGATGTTTTTTAAGTAAAATAAGTTGACGTGTACATGGTATGGCGAATATACGGTTTTCAATTAGTGCTAAAGCAATAGCCAAAAGATTTCCGCCGAAAAAATAATTCTGCAACTTATTCAAATTCGAAAAACCGGAAGGGTTTAATTGCTATTTTATATTTTAAAACAAAATAATATAAAAAACTGTATTAAAAATTATCTGTAATTAATAAATGTACATTTTCTTTCTATTCATACTTTTTTACTCAAACTTACAAATAGCTCCAACCTGGTTGCGATAATACGTAAGTACCGATGTTTTTAACTTTTAGGAACAAATTGTATTTTCTTAAGCCCTAATTACACAAGTGCTTTAGCTCACAAAGGCTGGTGCAGTAGACAGGTACCAATGCTTTTTTATTATCAATTTAAAATGTTTTTAAGTAAATTATCTTAGTTGGCATTTTCTGATTTAATCTTCTTAAATTCTTTTTATTAGGACTTAACATAATTCTTCATCTACATCTTCTTGACTATAGTAGTAAATAGATACTTTTATTCACAATATATACTTTTTCGGAATTTGAGATAAAAATAGGCAATAGTTCCATGAAATTTAGGGTACTTACGTATTAACGCCACCACAGCATAAGTTGCGCTGATGTGCCAATAAAAAGCAATCTTGTTGTTCGCATGCAGTTATCTTTTGTATTCCTTTTTGCCTTGTTGTTTGCTGGTTTTTGACGTCATTTTTTAGTGCTACGAAAAGGCATCTTTGGGATTTGCCAAACACAGAAGATGCAATTTTATTTTTTCAGGAGCGAAATATTTTACCAAAACAATGAAAATGTACCAATTCGCATGCTATGAAACTTTTTTTTTTGGTAAACGTCCGTTTTGGAAATGTAATTTAAGACAGTGGGATCAGCAAGTGGGACTTAGAAAAGACAACTGGTTTGAAGGAAGTAGAATTCAATTTTGTTCAGCTTTGAGATTCATATACTGCTGGTGTAAGGAGTTGATGTTGATTAAATTTTCTGAAAAGCAACTTGATTTATTGGATAAAACTGTTATAGATTGGAACAATTACATGTGGACATGGAGAATAAACCAAACAAGAATGTGGTAGACCAGATTGCATTGTGGAAATTGATGAAAGTTTGATTACTAAGCATAAAAATAATTGTGGTCGAGTATTACCCGAACAGTGGGTGTTTGGTGGTATATGTAAAGAAACAAAAGATTCATTTGTTGTCACTGTTCCTAATAGAACTGGCTGGACCCTTCTTAATAAAATTATTGAAAACATTGCAGATAGTAGCACAATTTTTTCTGACAGTTGGAAAGGTTACCAAACAAATAGAATAGAAAAGGAAAAGAAGGATTCCTATGTGCTAAAGTTAATCAATACAATTTTATTGATCCTGATACAGAAATTCATACACAAACAGTTGAAAGAATGTGGGGCAGTGCTAAATGGAGGAACAAGAGACATAAGGGGACAGCGAGACATAATTTAGAATCTTATTTAGCAGATTTTGTATGGCGGCAGCATCAGTTAAAAAAAAAAAAAAAAAAAAATAGAGACCATTTTGAATCTATGTTAAACTCTATATCAGCCCATTTTCCACCGAAATCCAATTGATTACTTTGATTTTAAATAAAGCATTGCCGCAAAAATTTTAGGTGTAGGTTGGCGGCACTTAAAAACCGCCAAATCTGCAGCTGCGTTAATACTTAAGTACCTAAATTAGTTTATCTAAGTGTCCATTTAAATGTATAATTTTTACATCCAAAAAACTTATTTTATAGTGTTCATAAACTACAACTGATAACACTGTTTTAAAAGTTGCAGGTTTTATGGACGGACTAAATCTGTCTTCATAATCTATTCCTTTTCTTAGGTTAAACTCATTTGCTACTAGTCCTATGTGTAAGTTGTTTCTAAATTATCCTTTATCTGCTTGTTAGTGACTATCTATACTAACTTTTTATCCATAGGTCATTTAGTTAACTCCAAACTTCATTAGCCTTCACTGAACTCAATTCTTTATCATTATGTATACACAAAACTTTCAGCAAATTTCACAGTTTCATTTTAAGTCTTAATTAATTCTTCATATGTATTATATACTACATCTAGCTAATATATAATGTTTTTTTTTTCTGGTGAATTTATGGCTCTTACTTTTCTTTGCTGTGGGGATGTTTTACCAGCGAAAGTGTTATTTGAAGGGACTCAGTTATTGGTATTTCAAATGATGAGTTTCTGCCATTTTCATCATCTGTGTTTAGCAATAGCATTTTTCAGATTATTGATATGTTATATGATTATATTCTAAAGAGTAATCTTATTTTCTCTGATTCTTATTCTTTATTCTTGAATTTTTTTCATTATCATGTTTTGTTCCTTGTAAAAAATAATTAGTTTTTTTAATATTTGATTTTTATTGAATTTCCAGTTTGTTTCTCTTCAGTAAAATTATTTTGATATTCTGCTGATTAAATTTTACACCTCTCAATCCCTGAATTTCCCTTAGTTCAGAATTATAAATTTTGTTTGCTTTTCTCTTCATTACTGTATCTAGCCATAATTCTCTTTTGTGCTTTTAGATCCATCTTTCGACATTTTTCTTCTCTTATATGAATATATGCTTCACGTCCAAATCTTTTATGATAAATAATGGACTTACATCCTCTGTATATTTCATATTCTGTATCCTCTGTATATTTCATTTTAGTTTTTTATGTGGCTCCTGTTATTCACATGAACAACTGCTTTAACATTTTCACTCCCAAAAATTTATCAATAATTTTCAATCATCCTACATAGTTCTAACAGTTTCAATGATAGTACAATTAAAATATTCAGCATTCTGATTATTCTTTGGAGTGTAAGGCATTGTAAATTCAATAAATTCCTATTTTTTTCAAGAAATTCTTTTATGCTCTTAGCTAAGCATTTGCTGCTATTATCACTACAAATTATTTACCTTTTCTTTCATGGTTCTTAAATGATATGTTTTACCAAGGGTTCTGAAGTTTCACTCTTTTTTTTTCAATTGCAATCACAAACCTGAAGTTACTGTAATCATCTCTCACTGTTAGATGATAACTTCCAAGTATTGATTTATCAATCAGTCCATCTAAAATTTTATGTTGTAATTTTAAAATACCATCAGATTGTTTGAATTTCACACTTTTATAAGAATTTTTTTCATTTTTCCTAATGCATGAGCTTTACAATTGTTTTTGGAAAATTTTATGTATTCTAATCCAGTTACCAATAAGTTTTTCTTCATTTCTATCACCTCATATGCCATAGTATACCATTAAATTACTAATTTTAGCTTTATTACATTTCCTTCCAATTCACATTTATTTCTACTTCTGTTAGATAAAGTCTGCTAGCTATTAGCATGTATTCTATTAGCTTTAATTATAGTAATATTGCTTTTAATTTGTGATTAAGTATTTTTAGTACTGACAGTAAATTTTCAGTTAAATTAAGGTACTTCCAGAACATTAAAAATTATTGTATTTCTATCAGTTTGCTTTTTAATATCACCAGTTCTAGCTGACTTGATCATAGCTTCTCTTTCAGCTGTTATTATTTGTTCTGCATCTTTAAAAAACTGGTAAATATTTCCTTATTTCTTGCCATGTGATATGTGGCTCCTGAATATAAATACAATTTTTCTTAATTGGCTAATTCTTCTCTTTCATTTATTTGCTTCATTTTTGTCTTGGTTAAAAGAGAATTTCTTCTATTTTTATAGATATTTCATGTAAACATGTAGCAGAATCATATTCCTTTCCTTTGTTTTCCAATCTAACAACCTTATTTGTTAAACTTTTTGGCTTTGTGAGTTTCTCTGTAGTTTTCTTTTTGCATTTTAACTTTTCTAATTTTTATAACTACAACATTTTGTATTATTATAATTAAAATTTAATTTGTTTTGAACTTTTTAAATTGTACTATAGTGAATCCAGACTGATTGAAGATGAAATATGCGAGGTATTGCTGTGTTTGGTTTTCTAAATTAGCATTAAGATTTCTTAATTAAATTTAGTTATAATTTAATATTTTTGTGTAATATTTCATAAATTCTGAAATATCATTTTTTATGTCAGCACTACATAAAATGTATTTTATTTTGGTTAAATGAAACAAACAAATTAAGTAAATTCTGTAAATTTAAATATGAGAAGGATTAAAAATTTAAGTTACACTTGATTAAATTCACAGGTCTAGAAAATGTTATTTAGAGATGCACAGCAATACAATTTATAACAAAAACACTGCATTAAAGATAATCACATAGCAAATAATTTGTAAAAAAAATATCTGAATGTGCAACCTAACATTCCTTGATGACTGAAATCTGCTTATTGGCTGTGGGATCATAATGGAATTTCTGTTTTTACTTGTTTATCATAGACACATTATCTGAAACTTTTAGGCAAAGCTTGTGTTATGTTGTGTAATCTTGCATTATTATGAAGGAGAGCTGAGCCTTTTTAAAACTTTTTGTGTCTTATTTTTCATGGCTTCCTGCAGAGGCCTCATTGATTGGCAGTAAAAATCAGCAGACCCGCACCAACAATAGGTGCAAGGTCGTGTGGCACACGATGGCGCCGAATCAAAAGGGTGCCGTTCAATCATTAAAACAAGCAGTTCGT